TTAACAAATCCCTAAGAACCCTCAACAGTTCACAGATAAAATAATGACAATATTTAAGAAAACTGATAGCCGGAAGTTTTTAATTTTTTTATTCAAATGTTTAAAAAATTAACTGTACAACTCAAAAAATAAGGTGTGCAGAAGTCTAGGAACAGAGGATGGTTCTTCACCATAAATTCCATCTCAATCATGGCCCAAGCAATATTCTGCAGGGTTAAGTACGTGTTTGTGATCTGTGAATCTTGCAGGTTTTGTTGTGCACAGGGTCTCAGTTCTTCGTGGTCAGTATAGTAATTCGCAATTCAGATTGTTAAATGTTCTTTTCAAACTTTGCTTCAGATTGGCTCCAGAAATATCCCAAGATTTGTATAACAGATACAGAGGAATAAATTTACTGTTTAGACTCATTTTTTTCCTTTATGGTAACAGGACTGTAGGCAAGGCAAAGCCTTCCTGAGTTTTTGACCCTGGCAAAATGAATCCCTTTATTTCCTGTAGTTAAGTCCTGATTGTAGGTGATTTATAATACATATTATTTTAGGTGGTTAAATTGATGTTTGTTCTTTACAGTTGCTTAAGGAAGAAATATTAAGTCACAGTACACTGCTGGAAACTATTGAAGTCAAAAGCACGGACATGACTGAGCATTATGTCACTCAGCTTGAACTTCAAGATCTTCGTGAGAGATACCAGTTTCTCAAAGACAGAATAATGGTATTGTTACATTTTACAATGCTATGTATATTCTTCTTGAATATAATTGTTTAGAGTAGGTGTGTAGAGAAATGCCTTTGTTTCTTTGCCCACATATTTCATAGCATTTGCATATTTGTGTGTATGTGCACATGTGTGTATTTTGAATGCATTTATATTAATTAAAAACATTATTTTTGTTAATTCCCATGTCAACTTGATAAATTAAACACTAGGATTGGCATATTAATCTCTTAGCTATATCACTCATTTATTTAAGCACACAAGAAATAGTACAGAAATAAAATCCCACCATTATATATAGTACTTGGTCAGTGTCAGGAAAGCCTGATGACTTATACCATAATGGGATATTTCTGATAATAATAGGAAACAATAACTAAAGCTGAAGAATATGTTCACTTGCATCAAGAGTACCAAAGGAATTTGAAGGCTTTTGAAGTATGGCTGGAAAAAGAACAGGAGAAACTTGGCTGTTTATCACATCTTGAAGGTGATACGGAGAGATATGAAGCAACACTCCAAGAACTCCAGGTAGATTTTTAAAAATATGTTTTGTCCTATAAATAAATATTTTGCAGTTTATCTTTTTTAAACTCCAATCAACTTGGAGCAGGAGTTAGGTTGAATTTTTCAGATATGTCAAGACAATGATGGTTGTTTCAATATCAATATCAACTGCTAAAGCAATATTCAGTACATCCTGCAAGCTTGTCAGTCTTTGTTAGGCTGTCTTTTAATGTTTTAAACTTGTCTAGAGCATCCAAAAATCACTATCTTATTTTGAGTGAATTTATTTTGTTTCCAAACTGATAGGCAATATCAACCATTTGACCTTGCAAATAAAAAATACTAAAGTGCATTAATTGGGCATATTATGCAAAATCCTGATATTTTATAGGGCTATGCAGGCTTTGAAAATAATTTGGAAGGAGTACTTTAGACTTCTTTAATGAGTGAACAGATTAAAACAACCATACATTTTTGTCAGGGTTGCAGAAACAGTTATACCTTAAGCAATCTAATACAAACATCTGGTTTAGAAAGTGTTATATGCAATAATTTTGCATTTCAGGAATTACAGGTACATTGTGCTGAAGGACAAGCATTGCTGAATGCAACACTCCATGCTAGGGAAGAAGTAATCCCATGGGGTACACCCCAGTTGGAAGAAAGAGTATTGGAGTCCATCCGTCAAGATTGGACAGTCTACCAACACAAGCTTTCTGAAATTAGGATACAGCTAAATACTAGTTTAAGCAGACTGAAGCTGATGGAGAATAAATTTCTGAAGATGGATCAATGGCTCAAAACTCTGGAGGACAAAGTTAATATCAGGACTACCCGGCAATCTGACCGAGCCACAAAGGAAATCCAGCTTCAGCAGATGAAGGTGATGAAACTATATGATCATGAGCACCACTGTTCCTTTCCTTCTCTTTATCGTAGTTACTGATAACTCATACAACTGAAAGCTGAGCATTTATTTCAATCTATACAGATATATTTATATTGTTAAGCTAAATATGAAACATTATTGTTATTTCTTTCAAGATCAATCTTGTTGTCTCTTTACACTACCAGCATATTAAGAATAGATATTAGGAATAAGGGTGCCCACTCTATTTTTTAATTATTTGTTTTGGAGAAATAATAGGAATGGATTTGTTTGCATTCCTATTATTTCCCCAAAACAAATATGCATTCTTTTTTTCTTTTTCCAAACATCCTATTTTTCTATCTCACTACCACATCAGAATGTTCATGCTGATTTTTATGCAATACTTTTGTAATCCAAAGTATAGCAAGGAACCTTTATACAAAAACTGCACCTTGAAATTCAACTGCTAAAAAAACAAAAGACATTTTCATTCCATTTAATTTGAGAAAAGTTGATTAGGTTAGTTTGTATTAAAGTGCTAATCTAACACAGTTTGCTCCTCTCCCTAGCAGACAGCAGCTCAGATTACTTATGCATCTTTTGTATAAAGGTAGTCCTCAACTTACGACCACAATTGGGACTGGAACTTCTGTTGCTAAGCAGGTTGTTAAGTGAGTCACACCCAATTTTACGACCTTTTTTGCCATGGTTGTTAAGCGAATCACTGTAGTGCTTCCCCCACTGACTTTGTCGGAAGTCCCCTAGGAAGGTCGCAAATGGTGATCATGTGACCCTGGGACACTGCAACCATCATAAATACATGCTGGTTGCCAAGTGCCCAAATTTTGATCATGTGATCGTGTGGATGCTGCAATGGTTTTAAGTGCAAGGAATGGCCGTAAGTCACTTACGTAACTTTGAATGGTCATTAAACAACTGGTTGTAAGTTGAGGACTACCTGTAGGCTCAAAATACAGAGAGATAAGTCGGTTATGTGATGTTGATGGGAAGAAGTTGAAACATGAGAAGGCAGCAGAATCAACTGTGTGAAAGTGTTATGGGTATAAGAAGAACGGGAGTTTGTATGAGTCAAGTGAATAATCTTTGAATATTTGAGAATGAAGGGAATATTGTCAACAGAGTAGGTTTTTTGTGTTTATGTATGAGATCTGATTGATATATGAAAGGATAATGAACATAATAAAAGAAGCAAAAATACCTTCATAAAATTTACTTAATTCCACCTATGGAACAACAAGATTCTGCTTCACCAAGTTCTTTTTTTAACAACTAAAAACACTGTTGTGTGTTTCTATTTGTGTTTGTGTAACATATCTGTAATTTATAATTAAAACTACATGCTTATGATTCTTCATTTTATAAATTGAGATTCATGTTTCCATATTTTTCTGATGTTTTTAAGAGTTCTATAAACCACATTTATGTCATTTCTGAAATTTTTTAAAAATATGTCTTTATTTCAGAATTGGCATGAAGAAATAACAGTCTATAAAAATGAAGTTGAAGAAGTTGGATTGTTGGCCCAGCATTTCCTGGAGGAAAGTCATACTTCTAGTAGGATGGGGAGACAAGCAACCCAGCTTGCTTCTCGATACCAAACTCTTGTTCTTCATGTACTGGTAAATATGAAAATGTTTTGAAAGTATTATGCAATACTACTTGGACAATATTTTTTTTAGATATGCTTCTAAATGCTTTATTTTTAGAAATGATTGGGCAGCCATTCTGCCTCTCTTATCTCTCTATGTCTGAAGATTTAATTATACATCAAAATGTTACTGCTAAGGATCATTCACCAGCTATTAATATTCAACTGGAGGGTTAGGCTAAAATTAGTTTCAGTCCTTTATATTACACTGTACTGCTCTCAATCTATCTTTATAATTTTCATCTGTTTTAGAACAAGAGCTCTTATTCTTCTTACATAAGAGGTGACAGTTCAGGAAATGAAAATGATGATTTATCAATTAGCTCTGTCCCAAATGTATCATTTTTAAAAAAAATATATACAGAAATAGTGAAGGAGTATTGAATTGTCAGCATAAGCAAAACAAAGTTTCACCTTCTAAGACAGAACAGGTGGTCTGAGTGAAGTAAGACAGTCAATACCGTATTTTTCCGACTATAAGACGATACTTTTTTCTAAAATCCTTACCCTAAAAATT